ATTATACATCATAAAAGGGCCTTAACGTTATAGGTTAATCTTGTACGTTAATCTTGTACGTTAATCTTGTACGTTAATCTTGTGCGTTAATCTTGTACGTTAATCTTGTACGTTAATCTTGTGCGTTAATCTTGTACGTTTATGTTATACCTCAACTTCATACCTTAACGTTACACCTTAACGTTATACGTCCATCTTATACGTCTATCTTATACGTCTATCTTATACGTCTATCTTATACCTGGACATGAAATAACCAGAGCTACTCAGTATGGCGCTTCCCTCCATCACATCATCTTCATCTGGTAGTAGAGCCAAAAAAAGAGAAAGAAGTACCAGAGAAGGAACGAAATGATGGAGAAGGAGATAAGCGCGACCGAGAGGAGTGTCATATTAAGGACGACACTGTCGCAGTAGAGGTTCTTCAGGTTCTTCACTTCGCCAACGAGTCTGCTGCAGTTGAGGTTGTTCATTAGTTGATTCGCCTTGGTAACGATCATATATTTGAGCGCGTCGAACTTTTGTTTAATTTTCTGGAAAAAGCTAATCACATGGTTGAAGTTGAGTTCTTCAATGTCTTCCACGAGGTACTTCCTCAGGAGGGAGGTCTCATGTTCTCTACCCTCTCTTCCTTTAATCCTTGGCGTGTACTGGCTCCACCCTATTTTCTCCGTCATGCTGCTGTCCAGGTCTTCTACAGAGAAGATTTTCTCCGTCCTGATTCGAGACTTCCAAATGAATAGATTTACCACATTGTCTAAGTCATCTGCGTGGACATTAGGCCTAACGTGACCCCTCAACGTCCGGTACTTGGCGTCATCAATGGAGGACTTGGAACTGATGTTAAACTTATTTTCGTCCCCCTCACATTCTTCATTTTCGAAACAAAGGGCAAAGCGATTATCCGGAAAATAATGGCGATTCAAATGATGCAGGTATTCATCTGTTCCCCACAGAGTGAATTGGCCAAATTTGACATTATCACGAGTGATGCTGGTTGCCAGGAGGGACTGCTTAAGCTCATTCAATCGGATGTTATTAATATATATGTTGTTCCTCGGCTTAGTAATAACCACCCACAGATAGCTTACAAAGTTCTGTGTGTTTTGCTGGAACGTCTCCTTCATTTCTTTGAAAGAGGCATCGTACTCATTTACCGTCTTCTCCATTTCGCTCGTGTCGAATGAATTCACGTTATCAACAATACCTTGGAGCATGTCCTCTGATATAAGGGGCGAATTCTCATTCTTCAGGCAGTAATCTATCGTGGTATCCTTAAACACGTCAAAGTTCAGCTCATTCTTTAAAACACGATCTGCGATGATACAGCTCGTCCCACCCAAGACCGATGCGCTGAGTAAGGCTATCCCTATTAACAAAATCACAATCGTTAGAAAGCCAAAATACACGCTGAACACTCCAAAGAGGTCCAGAAAAAAATGACTACTATCTCCTATGTCCCCTTTTACCACAAAGTATAGGAACAACAATAGTCCGACCAGAATGAGAAGAGGAGGAATGAGCAACACCAACTTGACAATCAGGATCGAGATGGTGTACTTCTTTATGTTCTTCTTTATCCTATACTGGTGGAGTACTTCTTTCATCGTTTTATTGAAGAGCGTAATTTTATCGTTTACCATGTCCATGTTTTCTCTAAATGTTTTTCCTAAAACTTGGTCAATCTCTTCGAACGTCCCTTTGATTGCTTTCTTTCCCTCATCCAGGGTGTCTTTCGCTTGCTTCAGGTACGCCTCTCCTTCCTGGATCACTACGTCCAGAGCGGTCACTAGCCTCATCAGGACTGGGTACGTGTGGAAGTACTGCTCCTCTAGGATTTGGTTGTTCCTCCTCATGTTTCGCTGCAGCTTCCTGAAGTTCTCAAACACGGTGAGGAAATCTGGGTCGGTAGGGAAGAGGTGACCGGAAGAAGTGTAGAAGTGCTGATCAGACGAAATGTATACGTGCTGATGAGACGAAGTGTATAAATGCTTATCAGACGAAGTGTATAAATGCTTATCAGACGAAGTGTATAAATGCTTATCAGATGAAGTGTATAAATGCTTATCAGA